GTTATTAATAATATGATATATATATTTATAATTTTACATATTGGCATTGTCATTGTCATCAATATTACAATATAAATTATTGTTTACATATTTTTAATTATCATATTTTTTATAAATATCAGTCAAAATGTCATTATCATTATTACGTTACCTTTTATGTCAATATTAAATATTTTTATTTCATTAATAAAAAAAAATTAATACAAATTATAGCTAATATTCTTGTGATTATTCATAAATAAATAAATAAAAATTATTTTTATTATCCTTATGATTAATCATAATAATAATCATTCGCATCATCATCATCAGTTTCAAACAGAATTTAGCCCACATTTCTCTCAGTGCAGTTATAAGCTGCACTTGAGAACCGCTCAGCGTTCGACGTTGCGTCGTGTAGGTCACTGCGCGTTGGCGCTCTAATTGATGTATTTATTTAGTAATTGCTTGTACGGCCGAGCATGAAACGGAACTGCGTAGAGCAAGACGTCTGGCCAAGAGCCAGTGGCCAATGGCCAATAGCCAAGTGGAGCCGGACGAAGTGCGCGCAATTGGAGCACGCTTCAATGTTGTTTGTCTGGTGGCGGGGGAACTTCCCCATGGGTCAGCATGAAACTCGTTTTCTTGTCAAATTTCAACGGATTTCGGCAAATGACGTAAATGCTACCATGGCGGCGGCTCAGCACTAACAAAGCATTTTTATCGAACGTATATAAAAAGAATATTTTGTGCATGAAAATAAATGGCCTTGGCGCTGAAGCTTTGTTTTTAAAATAACCAAAAATGTTATTTATAAAATTAAAGCAATGCAAAAGCCAAAGCCCCAAAATGCCCAAATGCCCAACATTCCGCAGCATAACAAGCAAAACGCCAAAATTACGATCACAACATTAAATGTGGCTAACAAAATGTGTTAGCGCTGCCCATACATTATTTTACAACTTTTAGCTAAAGCAAAATCCTAACTAAGGAGCTTAGGTGGAAAAATAAATTGCTGGGTTTTTTGGCCAACAAATTAATTTAGAAAAAAACCACAAACATTTTTGCTGACTCTTTTTTTTTTAACAATTCACAAAAATTCATTGAGGCCAGTTGCTGCTACCCTGTTTAAAATTTGAGGGGGTTTGGAGTGGATTAAATAAGCATATTTATAAGGGTAACAAATTAAGCATTAGCAATATATAGATACATATATGTAAACATTTCATTTAATGAGCATTGATAATGAAATATAGAAAGCCTTAACCGCTATGCATAGTATATATATTTGTATAATATATTTTTACTCTGCTAATTGCAGGGTATTTAGCGTTCAAGTACACACATTTATTTGCTTTCATTGAGCTCAGCTCAGACAGCGTTGACTGAATCGGGGGTCAGAGAGGGCATGAAATTTTTCAATTAATTTACACGCAGCTGCAGCGCCGAAAGTTCCGCACTATGACGTCTGGCTGCTAACTGGAAATTGGAACTTGGAACTTGGAACTGGGTCTGACTCTCGACTCACTTCAGTATGGGTTTTTTCTTTCACACACACACACACATATACTAAATATGCATAAATTTATGCGTAATCGCTAATACCAAACAACTAAAGCTTTAAGCCGCGTCGCACGTGAGCCGCAGAACGTGGCTCGCTTTTGATGGTTCAAGTGCGTTTATTGGCCATTAGCTTTTGCCTTGTCATGAAGTTCGGCTGAAAACACAAACGAAATCAAATTTCCATAAATCGCCGGCTATGCTTTAAGGATTTGTTATTGCTGTCAAGGTTCGGTGACAGCAACAGGAAAAACATCTTAAAAAGCTTCAAAGTTATGGCGTGGTTTCGTTTTGATATATGTATGCATGTATGTATGTATGTGCGGCGCAGACATCTTAATGAATGCATGAGTGTATGCTAATTAAATGGTAATTAACACCGGTAGCCGGTAGCACACGTCGTACAGCGCACACACAAGAACACACACACACACACATTAAAAATTAGCCTGGCTAATCGAATGCTGTATATTTTTGTTTGATAAGATAAGGCGCAACGTGCATGAAGTAGAGTAACCGTTGCTCTAATTAAATGGGACGTGCCTCCGTTTCTATTTCGCATCCATTTATGTTCGTTTGAAGCGCGTGGACAACAAAAAAATTAAAATAAATTGCGAGACTGACGCAAGTAGCCAAAAAGCCATAAAAACAGACGAAAATATTAAATTGATGAAAGTCTCTTCCAGGTCCAGAAATTCTCTGGCGAGCATGTGACGTCGCAGTCGACGCAGACGGCAACGTCGCAGCGTGACCGTGGTCAGTTCAAATGAAATCTATGGCTATAAATAAAATCTTTATACCTGGCAACAAGCTCTGGCCAAATGTCTTACGAAATCGGCCTTCTGTGTGAAAGTTGCCAAAAAATGAATAAACCAACTGTAAACGTGAAAATCTTAAATAATTGCCTATATTCATAAAGAGTCAGAGCCATTGTGGAAGCATCACAATTCGCCTGCCTTGTGATCTGTTTCACTGCCAAGTGCTAAGATTGACAATACGTGATTAAAGCCATGTGTGCCAAGAATGTGATGAATGCCATGTGATGAGCAGGTGAGCCCAGGCTGGCTCCATACGAAGTCTCATCAACTGCTCTAGATGCCAGGCTAGGTGTGGCTTGCTGTGGCCTATTTAGTATATTTTATTCATATTTCGTATGCTCTCAGTCGGCTCCATAAATTCCATTTGTCCTCTTTGACCTCTGCAGCTGCAGAGAATTGACTTTGTTGCTGGATGATAGAGTGAATTAATAGTAGTATTTTATTTTGTTTTTATTTAGCTACTAGTTTTTGTAGAATTACTAAATTATATTAATATATTTTATAAATAAATATTTTTTTTATTTAGTTGAACTTGATTATGTATTTTTTATTTTAATTAAATTAAAATAAATTTTAATTTATTTATAATTAATTTATTTTTTGTTGATTTATTAATTGATAAATATTATTGTATATATATATTTTTTTTATTTAATTAATTTATTTTTTTATTATTATTATATCTATGAATATATATTTTTTTAAATTTTTAATTTTGCGCCGTTTTGAATTACCAATTCATTATTCGATTATTAATATTGAGTTAGTAATTATAATATTAATAATAGTAGTAATTAATAACATTATTAGTAGTATTTCTTTTATATTTTGTTTTTGTTTTTAATTTGATTTGTTTCATATTTGATTATTTTGTTTTATTTATTTTTGTAATTATTATTGTTTAATAAAGTTTTATTGGTCGTTGATTGACTAATTTAATTTGCAAAGTCTGGGAAGAAAATGTTTCTAGAAAATATTCAAACAAATAATAAGTGGGCTAAACATTTTTGTTATCTAATTTCAAAACAAACAAATATTGGAAAATTTTATTTTTGGTTTGTCTCATTTCTTTCTCGCATTTATTAAAACAAATCACGTTTCATTTAAACGTTTTCACTGAAATTAATAACAATGTTTCTACGTCAATTTTAGCTTAGAATTAATTGTGCAAATCAAATGTCAATAGTTCTTAATATCGTTTTTAGGTAAATTTATTTATTTTGAAATTTGAGTAACAATTTCATGTACATTTCTATTAAAATTTTTTAAAAAGCTTTTTTTTATTTTAATCGTGCGTATGTAATGTTTTTTTCTCTGTGAAACTAATTTTATGGAATTGAATTCTGCTGCTTCTTTTCTATAAATATATTTATATATATATTTATATATATACATATGTATATAGATACAAGCCGGTGCTTAAATTCGCGCCTAATACTCGTTCATCTATCTCTATCTCTACTCTAATTAAATATTTATATTATATGTATATGATATTTCCGACAATAACAAAGCGAGCCTCCTTAAATGTTAATACAAAATAAAATATAATAATTATTGCACATTAGTGTTGCAGCTCACAGCAGCTGTCAACGACAGTCGAAAGAAAAAAATTTAATTAAAATTTTATATCAATTAAAAGCCACAAAAATTTCCAATTGATTTTCACATTCCTGAGGCCCGGCGAATAATTTAATTTGCATAATTTATTTTATGGCACCCTTGGCGACTTTCCTTACATATATGTATATACATCTATATGTATGTATATATAGCACTGTTTTATGTACTCAATGTATGTATATAAGTCTGTGAATTGCCCATATAACGGCGCCGATTCGCATTAAATATAAAATGCCGCAACCGAGATGCTGTGAACCGGTTGAGCCCTGTCAATGTGCCCCCTTAGATGGGGAACGGGTCGTCTTGCAGGCGCGTCTGGCCGGCGACTGTACAACAGTTGCGTCTAAAAATAAGTGCACGCCATATTTGGGTCTCAACTGGCCAGCTCTCTTCATCAATTGATATCTTGACAAATGACAGACGCTCTTAATAATAATGGCCAAAAGTCTTCTGTCTACAAGGGCCGAGCTATGCTCTGGCTATTTGATAAATCGAACTGGGGATTTGGGCATTCAACTGTATCTCCGTGTTTGCAGCTGCAGCTGCCCTTTGCCGGGCTTAATTTATGCATTGGGCCATAACATGCAACACAGGCAGGCCTTGCTACTAAAAATAAACATCAGCTGACCTTGGGGCAGCGGCTGGTGAATGGAGCGGGCCAGCATAACGGAAGAAGAACCAACAGGACAGCCAGCCAAGATTCGCCTCAATTAACTGTTCGAGAACAGACAGCGGGACAGACGAGCTGACAGACTGAGAGCCGAGATCAGATACCTTAGACCGGAGATGCGATATCTGCGTGCCGATTCACTGGACCTGGGGTAACAAAATATTTATTGGCATATCCTCATGCCAGCCAAACGGGTTAGCCCAAGGACAAGGCAGCGAACTTGCGCCCTTGCGGTTCTTAGCCTTTAGACTATAAAAGGCAACGGCTGCGCCACCGACAGCCAACAGTCTACCATCTCAAGTCGTCGAAGTTGTAGTGAAGTTTTGCGTTTTTTTGTTGTCGCTGCTCAAGTGAAAAAACCCAAAAGTCCTACTAGTCGTAGACCCACACCGCTCCCAACGAGGATCCACCAAGATGCGTCTGCTGCTGCTCAGCCTGCTGGCGTTGGGTGCGCATGCGCACACCATTGGCTATCGCACCAATCTGCTGGCCTATGCGCCGGCACGCGGCGAGTTCCCTGTGCAGAGCGAAATCGTGCAGGGCTATACGCGCTATCTGGACAACACTGGAGCCGAGCGTCTGATTGCCTTCAACTATCCGGAACCTCTGTACGGCATACGCACCGTAGCTCAGCCCGCGACTAGTTTTGTGCGCACCTCGGCTAAAGTGGAACCACAACAGCAGCAGCAGCAGCATTTGGCCCTATTCCGTGCCTGGTGTGAGCAGCGCTACAATGCCCTGCGCGTGGAGCTGGAGCGCTTGCGCGCCGAGGGCAAGCAGCCGACGGCCAACATGCTTTCCCAATATGAGCCACTGGAGCAGATCATCAAGATGAATGCCTTTGAAGCAGTGCCCGGCCTGAGTCCCGAGCTGCAGCGTGTGCGCGACGAGCAAATGCGCATTTGGAACGAGGCGCGCCTGAAGGTGATCAATGCTGAGGCAGCGCTGCCCCAGCAGACTTTCGTCAAGCAGAACATCTTCACCGCTCAGCCCTTTGCAAAGACCGAACAGCCCTTGGTCAAGCAGTTTGCCTACACGGCACAGACTAATGGTCCTCTGGAATCGCCAAAGCCGGTGCAGGAAACTGAGGAAGTGAAGCGCGCTCGCGAGGAACATCTGAGACGCTATAACGAAGCCCTGCAGCAGCAGCAGCAGCAGAAGCAGGAGTCGCTGGATTGGAAACCACAGCCCATTCAGCAGCAGGATCAGCTTGTGAAAACCATTCCATTTACAACTGGGCAGCAGCAGCAGCAGAAGCAGGAGTCGCTGGATTGGAAGCCACAGAACGTTCAGCAGCAGGAACAGCTTGTGAAAACCATTCCAATTGCAACTGAGAAGCAGCAGAAGCAGGAGTCGCTGGATTGGAAGCCACAACCCATTCAGCAGCAGGAACAGCTTGTGAAAACCATTCCAATTGCAACTGAGCAGCAGCAGCAGCAGCAGCAAGCCATAGAGGACACGCCTGAAGTGCAGCGCGCTCGCGAGGAACATCTGAGGCGCTATAACGAAGCCCTGCAGCAGCAGCAGCAGCAGAAGCAGGAGTCGCTGGATTGGAAGCCACAGCCCGTACAGCAGCAGGAACAGTTTGTGAAAACCATTCCAAGTACAACTGAGCAGCAGCAGAAGCAGGAGTCGCTGGATTGGAAGCCACAACCCATTCAGCAGCAGGAACAGCTTGTGAAAACCATTCCAATTGCAACTGAGCAGCAGCAGCAGCAGCAGCAAGCCATAGAGGACACGCCTGAAGTGCAGCGCGCTCGCGAGGAACATTTCAAGCTGTACAAGGAAGCCCTGCTGCGTCAAGCGACTGAGGCACAGCCACAGCCTCAGCCTCAGCCCCAGCAGCCATCCTACGCACCTCTGCCCACATCAGCGCCCCAAGCCGGCGTAAAGACCTACGATGCCAGCAGCCCTGGAACATACGTGTCCGCCCAGACCCCAGCACAGACCCTGCAGACCGACAACTTTAACCAAGTCAAGGTGAAAGCCGAGGATAGCAGCCGCTACGATGAGCGTGAGCAGGCCGCACAGCTGGAGGAGGAGCGTCGTGAGGAGATTCGTCTCATGGAGCTGGAGCGTCAGCGCGAGGAGAAACGTCTGATGGAGGAACGTCGCATGCTTGAGGCTGAGCGTATTGCCCTAGAGCAGGAAGAGAAGCAGCGCATGGAAGCTGAGCGCCTGGAGGAGGAGCAGCGTCAGCAGGCCGAGCAGCAGCAGCTGAAGGCAGCATCAGACGAAGACAGCTATAAGTATGCCAAGCCCCAGGCAGCTCAGGCCGCTCAGCCCGCTCAGCCCGCTCAGCCACAGACCATAGCGCAGCAGCAGCAGGTGCAGAACGGTTTCTTCTTGCGCATTCAGTCGGGAGCACCCAGCCAGATTAGTGCACCCAGTCAGCCCAGCGCTGAAGCTTACTTCCTGGCCGAGCATAATCCCTTCCTGGTGCGCTATGCCCCGCAGCCCCAAAAGGCGCAGCAGCTCGTGCAGACCTTCAGCGGCACTCCAGCAGCGACGATCAAGACTGCAGGCAGCGGCGCCAGCTCCAGTTCCATTTCCAGTTCCAGCTCTAGCTACATCTCAAACTCCAGCCCGGTCAGCTCTACTTATAGCTCGGGCTCGTCAACAAACGCCTTCAAGAGCTCCACGGGCCTCAGCGAATGGGAGCAGGCGACGCGCGATCATTTCAAGGCCCATGAAATCGCCTTGGAGCAGCTGCGTCTGGCCAATCTAAAGGATGCCAATCAGATACCCTGCACTCATTAAATGCGATAAACGAACACACACACACACACACGCACATACAACGACATCGACATCGAAATGGACATCGACATCGACACGCTTTGATATTTGTTTTAGTTTTTTGCACAATTCATCAAAATTCAGATCCAATTTGTATGCATTCCACTTAGACTTAAAATACTCGCACTCATTCACATTCACATTCACATACACATACACATATACTCATATATTCGTACGCATACTCGATCACCTGTAGCGTTAAGCGATTCACTTAGACTCGTAAGTTTTCTTTAATGCATTCAGTTGAGAAACAACGCAAAAATCAAAGTAAATTCACATTTGTATTTTGAGTTGGTGTTTTCTTATTTTTTGCTTACTTATATTTATTATGTATTTAAGCTGGGTCAATCGACTTTCTCACTGCACACGGCTTGCACTCGCTGAATTCTTGTGAGGTTTGCTGCAGATGTGGGTTTCAGTGGATAGTTAAGCAGAAGTTCGAAGAAAGTGCATGGGAGAAGTTGGAAAAGTGTGTGGAAAAGTTGGACTCTAAGAAGAAGCATTGTGGAATACTTATCGAATAAGGAACTATCGAGCGATCATTAAAAAATATTACAAAATTTATATTACAAAATAATGAAGCTTTACAGAAAAGAAATGATTCAACTTTAGCTTAAATAATTTCATATTTTTTGCATATTTATATATTTTTTAAAATAATATATGAAGTTATCACAAGACCAAAAAATCAATACTATATAGAGAGACCTTTCATATGTAGCTGCAATTAATTTCGTACACTTCCCATCTTCCTATATTATTTATGTATTCATCTATCTATCAATCTGTTCATCTATCTATCTAACTATACTTCTATCTATCGTTAAATATCTCTCACTTTATTCCATCCAAGTGCATTGAAGCTTCGACAATTCGTGTTTAGCTCCGAAACTTTCCGAATTGTTTCCTCTTATCATATTTGGACGCAGACAAAGGAAGTTGCCCCAATGAACAGTTATAGAACGTTCTGATGCAAATTGTCCGCTGTTGGAATTGATTGTGTCGCCAGTTTGGCGGAGCGCACGAATCGCATTAAAAATGCGCATACGCCGGAGCCAACTTGAGGCGTAACTGGAGCAGCCAGCAGATGTATCTCATATGCAATTGAGATGGGAAAGATCCGTTAGATGCGCGGCACTTGCCGTACTGTGCGGGGCAGGTAAACTGAAGTCCGTGAGGTGAATAAATTTCGTATGCTTATGCGACAATCACACGGCAACAGTAACGGAGACAGAGAGGGAGAGAGGAGCGAGAGATAGAGATAGCGACATCGACACCTACAAAATTGTAGCAATTAGCATATAGACCAGACGAGCTGACAGCTTAGCTATTAACTGACCTAGCGTAACGTAGCGGAGGAACGGTAAAAAATAACCGTTGGACTATCATTTACTGTGCGATAGGCATCGGGGCGATTACGTGGCGTATGAGTAATGTACATACGTATGAGTAATATGTGTAATTGTATTGAGATGGCCCAATCAGTTCTGGCCATATATGGTCATAGCCACATCCGCCAAGAAGCTGCAGCCACTGATAACAATGAAAAGCGAGCAGCAAATCTTATCAGACACTAGAAAATGCCCATTTCCTCTACAACTGATGAGACACCGAGCCACGAGACACGAGACCTGAGAGCAAAGTGCGCGTCAAGCATGATTCACGCTTTCAAATACGAACTTCAAATTCAAAACACAATTTTAAGACGCGCGCGCAATATTGCAGCAGTAGAACAAACAGCTAATCAGCTGACAAATTAATTGCTAATCGCTAAACTCAAATGGCTGATGCAAGAGGCCAGCGACTAAATCATTGTCAGCCGTCTGCCCTAAATTGGGTTTACGCCTGATAAGTTGGCCTTCGTACCATATTCCTAATGTATGTATGTATGCATACACACATGCATACATATATTTGGCATGTCTAATGCGCAGTTACAATTCAGTTGTGGAGTAATTACGTGTAGACCTTTTTGTATATATCGTATCAGTTATTGTAAGCTCAGCATTGATTTGGGTATGAAATGCGCTGACACTAGGAAAAATAATCTAGAATATTGAATAGTTTATTGGAAAGGTTAAAATTCATTCATTGGCGATTTTAAGTGTTTCTTTATCAATTTTGAGACTAGAATATTTTGTAAATTTAAATTTTCCCAATTCAAGTTTGAGCTTGCAAACTAGAATATTATTGCATCAGATTTTAGGAGGAACATGTTATCTAGAAGTTGGACAAATATTTAAATAATATTTTTTTGGTTATATTTAAACAGCTGCTTGACTGGCTTTTCGCTGAATAACTCAATTATATATCAATTTCTACATTAGTTTGCAAATCTTTTTCTAATTACAGATTACATATTAAAGTAAACTAACTTACAAAACGTAACATAAATTAAAATTAACATGCACAGCTTCTCGAGGGAGGAAAAACGAAATTACTGCCAAACATTTTCACTTTGGTGTTATTGGCACAACGGTAATTGAAAAATTCACAAATTGGGGACTGTTGAAGCCAAATAAATATATTTCGAGTATAATTATCATAATTTTGTTGTGGATATCTTTCTATCAGTTGAAGCAGTGAAAATGTCATTAAACGATTTTCGCTTATTCATTGATTAAAAACAAAATCAAAAACAAAATTTTAAATTAAAATTGATCCGTATTCAATATTTATGGCAATGGCCAAATTTTCCATAATAATATGAATACGCAACGTTTCTCATTGCTCCTTGAAGCGTTATTCCCTATGCAGAGTTCAAAATATGCCCTGTTTTTATATCCTTTTGTCTCAGTTACTTTTATGATATACTCAAGTTTAAAGAAATCATAGCATTACAATGGAATTTTTATTTTGAGCTTTAAGAAACTCATATTTGACAATACGTAATTGCACTTAAATTCGATATTCCAATTGCAATCAATCGTAGATAAGATCTTGTTTAAAAGTGAAATATACATTCGTGTATATGCTGGGGATATTGTTTTGTTTCCAAGTCAGAACCACTAAATAGTCTCCACTGGGCATAGGCAATTTATAGTTGGAAATGTCCCAGAACATGTCCTTGACAATTAGCATGCCCTGCATTAGAAGCATAGATAGATAGATAGATAGATAGATAGATCATATGAGCTCTTACTCACCGAAAGGGGACACGAATGGTTTATGTTTGTGAAGGGCTTGATGGCGTCATACAATATTTTCACCACGGGATGATTGGGTTTGCGTAAGTAGGCACAGAAATCGATATTATATTCGCCTAACCAGGGCTTGTAGCCATTTCCCCATACCTTCGTTTGCCAATGGAGGTCTAGTTTTTTGGCTGTCTTCAGCAAATTAACCGCAATATTTAGGAGGGTTTTGTTGCGGCTGATCGCACGAAGGCGACACTGATCGATGGCGGACAAGCTTGGGTCTAGGGATCCACATTTAACATTTGTAAACTTCACAGTGGCCTTCATCTGGAAAATACAGATTAAAGAAGATGGCAAGGCAGCTGAATTCAATTTTAATTACGTAAACATTTTCGATTAGAAGCAAATACAAAAGTATTATGGAAGTTTTCCACTTTGGTGTCATCGTTCCAACGGGAGTGATTCGACTAACAATTTCATAGATATACAGTCGATTTAAATATAATACAAGTCAATTGAAATTGTAGAAATCATTTTGGTTTTACTTTTGTTTATTTTTTGGCAATAATTATTATTTTAATTGCTCCATTGGCTAGTATATATACTATATAAGTATCTGTTATTTTGTGTATATTTTTTATTTTATTTATATAATATTTGAAAGAAATCTGGGCCATGCATAAAATGGAATAACAAATTTCAATAATTGTCTAATAATGCTAGACAAAACATTTATTGAGACTGTCAACCGTTATCTTAATCTAGAACTTCATGCAGCAGTAATTGTAGTCTTTAGTTCGTTTCTTCAATAATTCACATAACTCGCTCAGCTATAAGACTCTCTATAATATCGCTAATACATAATAGAGATACTTACAAATAATTTCACCAGCCCATTAAATACTGCCCATATTTGGCGCTACTGTTCGGGTGGTTCCCCCCCGTTTCGGTTCGGCTTTAACTGGGCGCACTTGAGTTTTTGTTTTTCCTCGGAACTGCGTCGTCTGATAAGGTCTCTAAGGTATACATATACACACATATACATACATATAAGTCTAGTCTTTTTATAGCTGATATAAAATTTTCCGCGATTTGTTATTATTATTGCGCTGTTTGCTTATTGTTTTTGCTATTTATGCAGAATTTGTCAACATTTGCTTTTTTACCTTGAGCTAATTTTAGCCCTGCACCAAAGCTATTTTCGTACCTCCTCAGTTTATTTTTGTACATTCCTTACAAGTATTTGCCCATTTACTCGTGTCACATGAAGTATGCGATTGCTGTCATTCAAAGAGAGAGGAGCTCGGGTTGCTAACCTCCTGGAGATAAGCGACCGTCAGCTGAGGGAATGTGGGTCTTTGTGGCGCCTTGAGCATGCTTTGGCCACCCAATCGGAGGCGTGAGACACTCGCTGAATACTCTCGCCCAGTATAACTGATAAGCCGATTAGATAAATGCCCATTGGCCGAGACGAGGGGCAATAGCCGTGCCATGTCTGGCGCATTTCGGCGAATGTAGTATTTTGTTATGACATCTAATTGCACTCGGCTGTAAAATACTTAATCTTAATTAAAGCTGAATTGTTTGTAAAAATAGAGCCATCGATGGCGACAGCTGAAACTATTCTTGGCATGGTTTTCCAGTTACCCACATTACTCATCTTGATGGTCAAGTGCGTTGTTATTGAGGTCTAATTGAACGAGGTTCTTAAAAGCCATTTGTTTGCTTACTACTGTTGTTTATCTTCATGTTATTATTGTTACATATAATGTTCATATTAGTATTAGTATGAGTTAAAGTATATTTGTATTTATTATAATATATTTATTTTTATTTATTTATTTATTTTTTTTTTATTTTATTTTGATTTTTCTAAGATATTATTATCATTTCCTATTTTATTTATCTATTATTTTAATGATGATTCTCATGCTGATTATTGACAATAATATTTGTATTATAATTGAAGACTTTGCACTTTATTGTCTTCTATTTAAAGATATCATCGAGTCCTTTTATATACTCCCACACTTCATTTCAACCACCACGTATGATCCACCACCGACAATAACTAGTTGGGCAATTTACTTGATTTATAACGGTCATTGGCTGCATTGGGCATATTATTTATCGGCGTATATACATATAATATTGATTGGCTAATATCACTGTATTAATATGGCCTATTTGATGGTAAACATAATAAATATAATTGTTGCCACGCCACAGAAATAGAAACATTTTATATGCTCCTGTGCCAAATACATCAGCGAAAAACGTGATCTGCTCGTTAGTCACATGTGGTTTATCACGTTTGCGATAAGCCAAACTAATGACAGTCGTTTCTGTGTGGGGTACAGTTGCTGCTCATATTCAAAAGCATAATTTGCATATATATCGGAATAAACTAGAAATGTCAGTGTGAATATATATTGTATTGCAATCTTTAAAGAACTAGCGAAAGATAAGATGATTAGAAGTTGCTCTTTAACCAGGTTCAAAGTCGCTTGACACTTTTATATATATACTATATTTATGAATAAGATTTAAATGAATCACATGAATTGGCAACTCTACAGGCAGCAGGCATTGATAATTTGAAAGACGATAAGTTTAACGCCTTTCGCTTGAGGTAGCTGCGAGGGGTGCCGCGGGGCGCTGTGGAGCTATCAGCGGCAACAGTGCGTATGCTTGACATACATGCTTTAAAGTTTGCTTCACTTGGCAAACACATATGTATATGTATGTAGATTGGCAACAGCTAATACATAAACATTGGCTGTTGCTATGGCATTTAGGTTACTTTTAGAGCCTATATACAGACATACATAAACAGCTGTCTATAGAGAAAATTATACAATGCAGCGAGCTGTGACATGAAATTCCGCAAAGTTATCGAACCTTAAAGAGTTAGTATAAACAAATAATGAGTATATGTTTGATTATGATTATCATTTGAAACCTGTTAAATTTAATAAAACATATTATGAAAACATTTTAATGAGTTCTGCGAGCTATGCTAATTCATGCTAGCCAGCCAAATTTATCTAGAATTAGCACAAAAATAACTGGATTTACTTTGAATAGGTTTATTAAAAAGCTCTTGGCAAAGAGAACATAAAATTGAAATTTATACATATGTGTATACATACATGTATGTAGGCGTGGAACTATCGCGAATCAAAACAAAACAAAACAATTGTTAAGCACCAAGAGAAATATAAATTTGAGATAAAAATATACATGTGATTTTTAATGCTTCTTTCTTTTTCTCTCTACATATAAAGCTTCGAAATTTGTGATATTCCCCCTTAACGTCATGAATATGTTTTCGTCACGGGTTCCCATGTGACGTGATATGTATAATCTCGCGTAGGTCTACATTGTTTAGATTTGAAATTTTGAATATTTATATACTACACATTGACTCGATAATAAAATTTTGGTGTATAGTATTTCCCCTGTGCGATTCTTAGGAAATGTAGGTTCCAATGTGACGTGATATATATAATCTGGCGTAGGTTTTCAATGTTTAGATTTGAAATTGTGAATATTTATAAACTTTTGTGTATAGTACTTCCCCTGTGCGATTCTTGGGAAATGTAGGTGAATTCTTTTGTTTATTTGGCAATTTATTTACTGCAGCCCCATAAATGCGGTTTAAATTATGATATACCCGATCGGCGCATACAGTTAGGTGTAAAAGTAAGCGTATAAGCCGAGCATGTTGACAGTTTCCCGATGCACTTCATTAAGGAATATCGCTATAGCTTCATTAAACAAGCGTTTAATGTGACATAAACGTTAAAGTTTGGATTTAAATGCGGTCATTAAGTCGTATTAATACATCCCGTAATATCCAGTCGATGTTTTGGGGATGAGCCGCAATCTGTTCTGCTTGTCGGGGGATAAGCAACAGCTAAATTTGACTTACGTGAGAAAGTTTTATGACATTGACGCAAGCTCTGCTGGCTGGAAGTTTCTTTTGTGGATGGGTGGCTTTGGGTGGCTCAGCCTGCGGTAACGGTAAACACGGTCACACGCTGCGTATGCGCAACGACTTGCGTAAGCAAACAGACAACGGCAACATGTGCACAATTCCTGCGATTGTTTTTCAAGAATTTTATAACGTTTCGTACGTTCAATAAAAAACGAATAAAAACAAAACAAAACAGTCAAACGGAACTTTTACAGTTGCACATTGTTCGCTCGAAACGTGCTCGGGCATGTCGCACAACAGGTGGAAGCCCCCACCCAGAACCCTGAGTTGAACAGCCCTTGGCGCTCTCTATCTCGCAATATTGCTCTCGCTTTCCGTCCATCTCACTCTCACTCTCTCTCTCCGTCTCTCTTGCTAGCTTTTTTCACAGTCCTTATCAGCAAACAATTCAAAGTTTCTTTGCTGCCTGGCACGCGCTGTACGAGCAAGTCGAAACAAGTTGAGTTGAGTGGAGATAACGATGCTATCGAAAATCAACTGTGAACGCCCCGTCGCATTCTTGTGAAATTCAGCGCATTTATGTTAACTGACGCCGTCTCTGCAAAAAGCGCTCGAAGCGACCCCCAGAAGAGAAATCAATGGCAGCCCAATTAACTAAAACTAGTTGAGAGTGGAAGTGGCTTGAGTGTGCCGAACGGGCAAATACCCTGTAGACGTGATAGTAGTTTTAATATGTGGAGCTAAGAACTTTTATGTTTAAAGCAAAAGATTAGTATTTTTAAATTATTAGACTATATTATCTATATTAGACTAATATTTTGTTGCCCAGAATCAACTAGACTAACTGAAAGTCTGCCTAAAATACAAAAATGTAATATGAAAATAATGTTTATATCTATTTTTTTTTCTTTATTTATTTTTTTTTTTTCTTCATGACATTCATAATTTATCAAAACAGTTTAATAGTCTATATACTCTCAGCAATTCCAATTAAATTACAGGGTATCAAAGATTAAATAATATAGCACGATCCAGACAGCAGACAGCAAAGTGTGATTATTATATTTATGTATGCCAACACACGCATTTCACAAACGTAAACGTGGTGTTAATTCGACTTTGTTGGGGACTATGCTCATTTTTTTTATCGATTGGGTTTGCTTACATGGTGGCTGAATTCAGACTATTTAATCTAGTGCACAGGTGCAATTGCGCTTCAGCGGACATAGAGCAAATAGAGCACACACAAAAAGTCTCTAAAATATTCATATTTGGCTTTATCATTGGCAGCGTTGCTATTATCTTTCTAGCTCTATCCCTGTCTTTATGGCTCCTGCTTTCTTGCTCTACTCACAATTAATTCGATGCGCAGTTCATGGTTGAAATTTTTCCGCAATGGATTGTTGGGAATGTGCAAGATATCTAATACAAATAGACTTTTGTTTCCAGGTCAGAGATCTGTTCCAATTGTTTACACAATGAATTTCAACAGAATTCGGAATACGGAATTCCATTTATATAGAGCAAACAAGCCAGAAGTCTAATAATTATGGTCAAACACTTTGTATGTGTGTGAGAAATTCCCGTGCCTGACCTTGGACTCTTATTGGAGTGGGGCCACAATCTCTCTTACTGCAAAGTCACAGTTACTAGGTCTTGTTTGTGCCTGATAAGGCCTTTTTGTCGTCTGTTTGAAGTACTTTTCACTTTGGGATCTTCAGACAAATGCATATAAAAGTGCTTAATTGATTGAGTGAATTGCGAAATGGGTTTTCTCTTATTGATTTTTGAGAGAAATTTCTTCATAAATATGTAATATGAATATATGCACACACACACACATATATATATTTATGTATGTATGTGGGCAGTATCTGTGATTGCTCAGCACGCGCCTCGCATTGATTTAATTTCGCAAATATTTGAAAAGTTACAGGGAAAATTTTTAGAAATATTTGTTTGAGGAAAGTATTGTATATTTAGGCGATATATCGTATTTAGCTAAGGGCTTTACATTATTTGAGTTTTACAATGCCCCAATATGGTCTGGTATTGGTTGTTTGTGTAACTTAAGTAAATGTGCAATATTTGTTATTCGAATTTATAAAGCTTATCAGTTGTTAATTAAATGCATTTAAATGAGATGCTTAAGTGAGTTTGTTGTTTTAATATATACATACATATATATACATATTTGTAAATATGTACACATGCTTAAGGTTTATCAATTGCTTCCACGAATTTTCCATAAATAAACCATATCAATTCTTGCCAAGCAATTGAAGCATTCATTAAAGAAATACGCCCATATATATAATATTGTATATAATTTTATTAATACAGTTCCGAAAAATACCTCATAAAAAGTGAATGCACTTTCATAGTAAACGCGATTGCAGGTTTTATTTATATTATCTATATATTTGTTTATGGGAATCTCCGTCGCTTATTTTTCTGCTCTAGGCAGTAAATTATGTAATGTGTGTGTGTGTGTGTGTTTGTGTGAAAAAATCAAAACCGGTTATAAGCAGTATTCCATTCATCGTATAACTATATTTCACCCGCTCGGACCCAGCGCGTCTCGTGCCCAGCGCGTCTCGTGTGTGTATTTGTGTCTGTGTAATCAATTGATGCGGCGCAGTGGAAAGGTTCAGAGCGGTTCAAACAAATACAATTAACTAAATATATAATAATCGTAAACAAATCACAAAAAATATGCGTGCCAGCCAGCTGCTATATATTTGATAGATTGATATGATATACTAAATTTTGGAAATTTTTGGAAGTTATCTGTGGCCATTGGCACAAACAGATCAATTAATACCCGGTAGACGTCAGATAAAACCAAAAAAAAAAATTAGGTATAAATAGGTTATTTATTTATGTACATATTTCATCTTCTTAAAAATAAATATCCGCTTTTTAGTGACATTTCTTGTTAAACTCAATGAGAAGCCAATTGAATGTGTTAACTTTTTCTTAACTTTATTTTTGGGTGCTTGGTGAATCCCAGTTACTGCAAAGTTGGCCTAATAAGCAAGACAAACGTTCTTATCTCATTGCGAAAATGGGAGGGTTTCCATAGAAATTCCCAGCGATAACTCACTTGCCATATAATAAATATAATCCATGTTTAAGTGAATATTGATAAGCTCTGCTGTCTTTTTATTAGAGTATTATAAAGTCATATATAGTATTTGTTTTTATGTGGAATAGAGGCAACGAGAATAATTCAGTTCAAGCGAATCTCGTGTATTTGAATAATATTATTCAATTACAACTAAAAACATGTTGGCGCGCGTAAATGGAAATCCTAATCAAAGTAAACAATAACAAAATATAAATATGAAAAAAAAAAAAAAACAGGGTTAGCTGAACTGAAATCCAGTTTATTTAGTGAGTTTAAGTTTGAGCTATATTGAGTTGTATATTTCAGGTTTGCTTGTAGGGTAGTCAGTGGGCAAACAACTACCCCTCTCTCTAATTAGCAAGTTGAGAAGTTGAAAAGTTGTCGCTAAAACTGGAAACGTAGTGCTTTCAGCTAGCTAACGGATACATTTGACGGATACATTTGAGAATATGCTAATTTATTGTTAGTTTGAGCTTAGCATGAATCGATATCAAGCATTATGAATCGATGTGAATCATTACCTTCGACGACATCTCAATTGTTTCTCATTAGACTTCGGTCGGGTAGCTATTAAGCTGAACGGTTTATTTTTACTTGAAAATATGCTAATTTCTCACTGGCTGGGGTCAAGCTGTAAGCATCGATACTAATCGGTATTAATCGATATATATTTGTATGATTCATTGCCTTCAACGATGTCACCATTGTCGCTCATCATCTTTTCCGCTTGATTGTTCGCCTTGGCTCGTGCTCCCAGCACTCGTTTGCTTAAGTTTTTTGAATATATTTTTTTCTACTCAGTCACGCCTTATGTGGATTGTGAACTACCTGAGCAAACGTTGCATTCACCATGCCCTCCTAAATGGTATTTGGCCTAGGATTTCCCCACTCACACAACAAATCGAGCTGTTCAATGAATGTTACTCATGACTTGGCAAAAATGCTTACATAGAGTTTGCCTCAGCTGTGTTCTTTGGAATTAACGCAGCAGGTGTAAAGTACGCTGATGATCTACCTGTTCGTGCATGTCTAATATTGACTGAATAAACTGAACTGAAACTGGCTGAGCAGCTGATTAACGGGCAATACAAACTAGCAATGTACCGCATTGTATAACTGATCAACGAACTGCACCTGATCAGAGGTAAGCGTCAATCTGGGCAAATTAGCAATGTTTTTGCTTCAAGCATGTAAGTTACTAATTAATGGGTTCATGTGAAATGGCATTTTATATAATTGACTTAAGTAGCGCTCCAAAGTGTTACATTTAGGGTAAATAGAGCCCTTTTAACAGCAGCAAATGTACATTAATTTCAATAATTCTTTGAACTTTTTCTCGTAAATTATTTTGCGTAATTTTTCATTTATAATTAATAAACAGATCAATTGGAAGCTCAAGAATATAATATGTATATAAGTTAAGAAAATGTAAAAGACTTAAAATGAATGTATAAATATTATGTAATCATAAGAGAAATTCGATTGTCATTGTACTTGAAAACAAAATATATATAAATTTAATAAAATATATAAAATAGGGAATTGATAAAAAAGACTTTCCAATTAATTATAAAATAATAAAAAATCAATAAGAATTTAAAATGGCTAAGAAATTATTATTATTTGTATTTATTATTATTATTTTTTTATTTCTTCTTGAAAAAAAAAAAAAAAAATAATAAGATGAGTTTAGACAAAACTTGAATTATTATTAATATTAATAAATATATAATTTAATTTTTAAGCCAGTGTAAAAAAATATATGTATATGAAATATAAGCTGTCTCTCTTTAAAATGTAAATGCCTTACGTAAACTAGCATAAATGATATTAATTGTTAATAATTTAAGATCATAATATTAATATTATACATACATATACATGCACATGTATGTACACATAATTTCAGATAATTTTTTTATTATTACATACATACATATGTATGTATGTACATATATGTCTGTCTCAAGCTAATTAATAGCCAATTATACTAATTTCTTTGTTTTTGTTTTTTTGAATTCATTTTATTTTTTTTTTCCATTTACAAATTGTCTCGAGTTTCAGTTTAGAGCTAACTGACCTATACAAGTTATACGTGGCTCTTAGCAACTCCCAAGATGATATGTTGCAAATTGTTGTTTTAGCTTCTTGTTTCAGACGAGCTCTGCAAACAAATTTTTCCATGTTTAATGGCACGAAGTCGCGCTGTCTGGATCGCTGGCATTGATTATATTAACATGTCTCTGGCTGAAGCGTGCACGTAGTGTCCATATAAGGTGAACGTTTTAATTGGCCACTTTACAGCTTTGATTCAGACCATATAAGCAGTATATACACACATGTGCATACACATATACCTGTCTGTATGCATGTATGTATGTAAATGTGGCACATGCATAGGCTTGATAAGAGCGTGCCCATAAATGAGATTCATTGGGGGAATACCGCTGATAAAGCGCTTTAAATATTGATTGATATTCCGCTGAGATTT